GAGACCTCATGGGCCATCCAGTCCAACCCCATTCTGCCAAGAAGCAGGAAAATTGCATTCAAATCACCCCTGACAGATGGCCATCCAGCCTCTGTTTAAAAGCCTCCAAAGAAGGAGCCTCCTTGGGAAGGGGAATGAACTCTGTACCTGCCTCAGAGCTCTTTCAAGCTGGTCCTGGGTTCGAGTTCAGGCTCAGAAAAGAGAAGGCAGGACTGGGAATAAACAAGCCCTATCTCGATGTGGAAGGGGTGGGTTTGGGGTTCGAATGGGAACCCCAGGAAAGGGAGAAAAGGGTCACATTCCCATCGGCACAGCCAATCTTGACTGGTGAAGCTGAAAGGATGAGAAAGAGATGGGAAGAGAGCTGGAGAAAGAGGTGGATACAGGAGAGAAGAAAGAGGAGGCAAACCTATCCTTTGGAAGTTCATTGACTGATTCTTTTTCTTCCTAAGCGAAAGGAAAAGGGGTGCGGAAGGAAAACCTCTGATCTGAAGATTTTTCTTCATACAGTTTTTCCTTCCTGAGGGATGCCAGCTGCAAAATAAAGGGGGAGAATGCAATGCCCAGCACTTCCTCACTCTCTTTGCCTCCAGCTATATGAGCACCTGCTTCTCTACAGAAAAGGCTGGCCAGTTGGGGTACCATCCTTTGTCTTGGGGGGCACACACCCCAAAAAATATAAGGAGAAAGAGTCTCAAGGAAGCAGCATTATTTTCCTCCTGACCAATCTCCCCTTCCAACCTATGCCAAGCCCTGTCCCAGCCTCTCCCTCTCCCCACGCCCACTGCCCAGTGAAACTTGCCTGCTAGGAAGATACTCAGCATGGATTTGGAGAGGAAGAAGGTGGATGAAAAGAGGAATGAGTGATATTCTAGGAAGGGTGGAGAGAGCCTCACTGCAACCCAAGTGGCACCCTGACTTAGGCAGGCACTTAGATCATTCCAGAGGAAGAAGACAAACACCCTCAGCTCATTTCTCAACCAGACTCACCTCCATCCATCCTTGCCTACGTCATGTTTGGACTTTGACAGGGGTTATCTTGCACTGTGGACTTTGACAAATGATTTTATATTAAATGTCCAACTCAAACCCAACAAAGCAGGTTTACTTTTTTGAAAGGAGGGAATAAAGCTAGCTAGCTATGTAATTTTTGGACTCTGGAGGGGCATCTTTCATTGCACTTTGGGCATATGAGGCTTGGCTTTATGCATTAATTATTATTATATTTATTTACATCCTGCTTTATCTCCCCAAAGGGGGCTCAAAGCAGCTATGCATGTATGTATATTGACTGTATACTCATGCATGTATGTATACTGAATGTATACTTATGCATGTATGTATATTGAATGTATACCAATGCATGGATGTATATTGAATGTATACTTATCCATGTATGTATAGGGAATGTATACTCATGCATGTACATATACTGAATCTATACTTGTGCATGCATATATATTGAATGTATACTTAATGCATGTATGTATATGGAATGTATACTTATGCATGGATGTATATTGAATGTAAACTTACGTATGGATGTATATGGAATGTATACTTATGCATGGATGTATACTGAATGCATACTTATCCATGTACATATAGTGAGTGTATACTTATACATATATGTATATTGAATATACACTTATGCAGGTATGTATACTGAATGTATACTTACACATGTGTGTATACTGAATGTATACTTATGCATAGATGTATATGGAATGTATACTTATTTGTGTATGTATATTGAATGTATACTTATGCATATACATACATGCATTAAGCATACATTCAATGTATATATACTGAATGTATACTTAATGCATGTATGTATATGGAATGTATACTTATGCATGTATATATACTGAATGTATACTTATGCATGTATGAATGTATACTTATACATGGTTGTATGTTGAATGTATACTCATGTATGTATATTGAATGTATACTTATGCATGATTGTATGTTGAATGTATACTCATGTATGTATATTGAATGTATACTTATGCATGTATGTATATTGAATGTTCAAAAATGTGACTTGGCTTTTTTGGATGGTGGGAGGGGAGAAAGCTAGATGGGGAAAGTCTCTGAGAAAGGCATAGGCCAACTTCGGCCCTCCATGTGTTTTGGACTTCAACTCCCACAATTCCTAACAGCCTACCGGCTGTTAGGAATTGTGGGAGTTGGAGTCCAAAACACCCGGAGCGCCGAAGTTGACCCATGCCTGCTCTTAAATGATCCCACGCCCTCCCATCCCATTCCTTAAGAAAATCACTTCATTTTCAGGAGGGACTAAGCCTACCTGCAGCCAGGTAAAGGAGGGGATAGCATCACCATCACCATCCTAATCCGGCTTGTGCCTTCTTTGCCCTCCCTTCCAAGGGAAGCTCCTTCTTCTTCCCTCCCTCCTCCCTTCCATCACTGACCAGGTGTGCGTTTCAAACCGGTCTCACGCCTCTTCTGGAGGAAGGAGAAGGAGGTAAGGGAGGGGAGGGCGTTTTCGGACCTGGCGGAGGGGGCTTCTGGGCAGGGCCCCTCTTTCCCTTCCTCCTCTCCCTCCTCCTCCCCTTCCTCGCCTCTCTCTCCCCCCACCTTTGCTCAGCACAGGCGCCGCATTGACACTGCAGATGGTGCCTCCTCGCTTGGCGCGCGCGTGAGTGAGTGTGTGTGTGTGTGTAGACACCCAGCTCCGCACACAGCACGCGCAGAGATCTCTCTTCTCCCCGATGCCCACACTCACACACTACACACCGGGCATGCAGTGCATCCCAGCCCTTCTCCAAACCCCACTAAGGAATAATACATCCTGTTTCCCTATATAGTCGGATTTGTAAGCATTTGCACGACATAAGCCACACCATACCCTCAAAATAAGACTATAGCTATAGGTAAGGCGATGCAGCGTACAAGGTCGGCTTTCCCTGTATAAGGTCCAGGTCATTCTGTGCCTGCTGCAAACTGAAGCTTAGAGGGAAACATAGAAAGTGCTTTCGGTATTGTGTTTCCTCAGGGGAAAGAAGTAAAGCTGTGGCTGCCTTTTTAGTCAGTACTGTGGGTTTCTCTCCCCCAGAACCAACCTGGAACAGTCTGTGGGTCTCTCTCACGCCCCCACAAACACTAGTGCAAACTGAGAAGTAGAGGGAAGCATAGAAAGTGTTTTATGTATTGTGTTTCCTCAAGGGAAAGAAGTAAAGCTGTGGCTGCCTTTTCACTCAGTATTGTGGGTCTCTCTCCCGCAGAACCGACCTGGAACAGTCTGTGGGTCTCTCTCATGCCCCTTCAAACACTAGTAAAGCTGCTGCTACCCAGCACTAGCCTGTGGGTCTCTCTCACGCCACACAAACCCCAGGGAAAGGTAGGTGCCTGCTGCAAACTGAGACATAGAGGGAAACATAGAAAGTGCTTTAGGTATTTTGTTTCCTCAGGGGAAAGAAGTAAAGCTGTGGCTGCCTTTTTTCTCAGTACTGTGGGTCTCTCTCCCCCAGAACCAACCTGGAACAGTCTGTGGGTCTCTCTCACGCCCCCACAAACACTAGTAAAACTGCTGCTCCCCAGCACTAGCCTGTGGGTCTCTCTCACCCCACACAAACCCCTGGTCATTCTGTGTCTGCTGCAAACTAAGACATAGAGGGAGGCATAGAAAGTGCTTTAGGTATTGCGTTTCCTCAGGGGAAAGAAGTAAAGCTGTGGCTGCCTTTTTAGTCAGTACTGTGGGTCTCTCTCCCCCAGAACCGACCAGAAACAGTCTGTGGGTCTCTCTCACGCCCCCACAAACAGTAAAGCTGCTGTTCCCCAGCAGCGACCAGCAACAGCCTGTAGGTCTCTCTCACCAGAGGATGGATAGGGGGAAAGCTTCAGTAAGCAGTCTGCTACTGAGCCCAGAGAGATCATCCCATACAGTGTTCCCAGTGTTGACAACTCTGTAAACCACCCTGAGTCCCCTTCGGGGTTGAGAAGGGCGATATACAAATACCGCAATTAATTAATTAATTAACTCATACACGCAGATGATGAAAAATAAGACAACCCCTGAAAATAAGCCCTAGTGTGTCTTCTGGTGGAAAACCAATAAATTAATTATTTAATCTATGCAGATTATGAAAAAAATAAGACAACCCCTGAAAATAAGCCCTAGTATGTCTTCTGGTGGGAAATTAATTAATTAATTAATACACGCAGAATATGAAAAATAAGACTACCCCCTGAAAATAAGCCCTAGTGTGTCTTCTGGTGGAAAATTAATTAATTGACGCACAGAGATTGTGAAAAACGAGACAGCCCCTGAAAATAAGCCCTAGTGTGTCTTCCGGTGGGAAATTAATTCATTACTTAATCCATGCAGATTATGAAAAAAAATAAGACAACCCCTGAAAATAAGACCTAGTGTGTCTTCTGGTGGATAATTAATTAATTTCTTAATCAATAGACGCAGATTATGAAAAAATAAGGCAACCCCTGAAAATAAGCCCTAGTGTGTCTTCTGGTGGAAAAATAATTATAAGACAGTGTCTTAGTTTCGGGGAGACATGGTAATAGTATAATAGATTGCTGTGAGTTTTCCCAGCTGTATGGCCATGCTCCAGAAGCATTCTCTCCTGACGTTTCGCCTGCATCTATGGCAGGCAGGCATCCTCAGAGGATGTGAAGATGCATGTCATAGATGCAGGTGAAACGTCAGGAGAGAGTGCTTCAGGAACGTGGCCATACAGCCCAAAAAACTCACAGCAACCCGGTGATTCCAGTGATAAAAGCCTTCCACAACACAAGTATGCCTCATCACACTAGAGAGAAAAAATCCACTTAAAATCTGGTTTCTGCCTCCTGCAGAATTCTGGGGTTTGTAGTTTAGGGAGGAGCCTTTCCACAGCCTCCCTAAACTACAAACCCCAAAATTCTGCAGGAGGCAGAAACCGGATTTTAAGTGGATTTTGTTCTCTAGTGTGATGATGAATAATAGTACTCCGGGGAGAAATGTCATGCCGTTTTACCTCCACGTTGAGGGTTCTTCCTTCCTTCCTCCTCTTCTTTGGCTGCTTCTCCTGAGCATAGGTGGAAAAAGGTGGGCAATCCTTCCTCTTCCTCCTCCTCTTCTTCCTCCAGGACTCAAAGCCAGATTGGCAAGGGGGGAAAAATAAACAAGAGATAGATCTATATTCCCTTCCGCCTTGTTAGTCCGGCATCGCAGGCGGCGTAGTAGCGGCAGCAGCAGCCGCCGGGCTCAAGGGCTCCTCCTATTCCTCCTTTTCAGTGGCTTGTCTCTCTTCTCTCCGGCTTCTCCTCCTTCTCCTCCTTTTCAGTGGCTTCTCTTCTCCTCTCTCCAGCTTCTCCTCCTCCTTTTCAGTGGCTTCTCTCTTTTCTCTCCCCGGAATGAAAGAGGGTCTCCCCGGCTTCTCCACCTCCTTCTCTTCCCCCTTTTCCGCGGCTTCTCTTCTCCTCTCCCCGGCTTCTCCTCCTTCTCCTCCTTTTCCGCGGCTTCTCCTCCTCTCTGGCTTCTCCTCCTCCTCCTTCTCCGTGGCTACTTTCCTCCTCTCTCCGGTTTCTCCTTCTCCTCCTTCTCCTCCTTCTGCCGCCGCCGCCCGGAGAGAGAGAGAATGAGAGAGAGAAGGATCGCGGATGGCGGGGGCCGAGGCAAGAGAGGCGGCGGCGGCGGCAGATAGAGAGGGAGAGAGACCCGAGCTTGCCTCGGCTTCAAGGCTGGCCAGCCAAGACTAGGCGCAGAGAATGAGAGAGAGACAGAGCAATGGAAAGATCTCTCTCTGTGTGTGTATCTCTCTCTTTCCAGCACAAGCTCCACCTTGAAGATCTTCAAGAGCTCTCCCCTCTGCTCCGCCTTGCAAATAATCTATAGGATATGGTATAGATGTGAGTGGACAATCCTTAGGGGACGACCCCCGGGGGTTTCTCTTCGTGGGGCGTCTATGGGGGAGACGAGGAAGGAGGCTCTGCTTCCCTCTTGGAGCTCCTCTGGATAAGGTTTCTGTGCCTATCTCTCTCTCTGGTTCCCTCCTCGGGGTTTTCTCTTCTTCTCTGGGTCCAGAATAAAGGGGGGAAAGGAGGGTGGGCGCCTGCGTGGGAAAGGCAACGCGGAAGGCAGAGGGAAAAGCACGCGCGCCCCGAAGAAGGAAGGAAGGAAGGAAGGAGAGGAAAGGAGGAGAAGGAGCCGCTCCTTGCAAGAGTCCCAAAGCCTCGCTTGGCTGGGAAGGAAGGAAGAGGAGGAAGAATTGGGAAGAAGGGGACGGTGCTGCCTCCTCCTTCCTCCTTCTCTGGAAGCTGAGGGTCTCTCCGCTTGGCAACCCCGCCGCCTTGCTTCCCTGCTTCCCTGGCTTCTCCTCCGGCGCCGTTCTCCGTCTGCCTCTCGCCCTGGCTCCTTCTTCTTCCCTTCTCTACTCACTACTGACATCTAGGATCTGCAACCTGATTGGGCTAATTGTGGCATCGCATTGCCAGCCACCGGGCGGAGGGAGGGAAAGGAGGAGGGAGGGAGGGATGAGGAAAAAAGAGGAGGGCAGAGGAGGAGGAAGACCAGCCCGGCTTCCCTCCCCAAAGGCACAGGCTTGGAGGAAAACTCCTATCGCTCCTAAGATGGCCTTCACAGACTCACTGAGTTGGAAAAGATCCACACTTGGAATACTGTGTCCAGTTCTAGGCACCACAATTGATGAGAGATATTGACAAGCTGGAAGGTGTCCAGAGGAGGGCGACTCAAATGATCAAGGGTCTGGAGAACAAGCCCTATGAGGAGCGGCTTAAAGAGCTGGGCATGTTTAGCCTGAAGAAGAGAAGGCTGAGAGGAGATATGATAGCCATGTATAATATGTGAGAGGAAGCCACAGGGAGGAGGAGGGAGCAAGCTTGTTTTCTGCTTCCTTGGAGACCAGGACACGAAACAATGGCTTCAAACTACAAGAGAGGAGATTCCATCCGCATCTCTGTATACGAATCCACACGATCTCGCACGCATGATTGGTGGGGACAAGAGAGAGTGCCTTTTCGGTGGTGGCCCCTTGACTCTGTAATTCACTCCCTAAGGACATCAGGCAGGCCCCAACTCTGACAGTCTTCAGGAGGAGTTTGAAGACGTGTGGTTGTTCCAGTGTGCCTTCCAGGAATAATGATCCCATAGCACTTTGTCCCTCCAAAGCACTTTATACTCTTAGGTCTGCTCGTATGTCTTCCACAAACGACACTATCACCTTTTCGTCCATGCACACTATTCCAATTTTAATTTTTACATTTGGCCTTCCCACAGGTTTAACTGTATGTTGTCTTATTGATAATGTTATATGTTTATCGTTTATGTTTTATTTTAATTGCTTGTATTGTTGTGATTATTGCCTGTATTGTTGTGTTTGGGCTCGGCCTCATGTAAGCCGCACCGAGTCCCTTGGGGAGATGGTAGCGGGGTACAAATAAAGTATTATTATTATTATTATTATTATTATTATTATTATTATATTGCATTCAAAGCACCCTTGACAGATGGCCATCCAGCCTCTGTTTAAAAGCTTCCAAAGAAGGAGCCTCCACCACAATCCAGGCAGGCCCCTAGCCAGGATTTTGATATGGGGGGGGGGGGCTGAGTCTGAGTGAAAGAGGGTCTACCCTAGCAAACCTTTTATATCGTTACCCCAATACCCCCATGCATATGGGATATATTGAGTGTGGTGATGTTCAGATGGAATCTCCTTTATCTTTATTAATGACTTAGATGAAGGCTTAGAAGGCATGATCATCAAGTTTGCAGACAACACCAAATTGGGAGGGATAGCCAATACTCCAGAGGACAGGAGCAGGATTCAAAACGATCTGACAGATTAGAGAGATGGGCCAAAACTAACAAAATGAAGTTCAACGGGGACAAATGCAAGATACTCCACTTAGGGAGAAAAAACGAAATGCAAAGATACAGAATGGGGGACAATGCCTGGCTTGAGAGCAGTACGTGTGAAAAAGATCTTGTGGTCCTCATGGACAACTTAAACATAAGCCAAGAATGTGATGCAGCGGCAAAAAAAGCCAGTGGGATTTTGGCCTGCATCAAGGGGAGTCGAGTGTCTAGATCCAGGGAAGTCATACTCCCCATGCTCTATTCTGCCTTGGTTAGACCACACCTGGAATATTGTGCCCAGTTCTGGGCACCACAATTGAAGGGAGATGTTGGCAAGCAGGAATGTGTCCAGAGGAGGGCGACTAAAATGATCAAGGGTCTGGAGAACAAGCCCTATGTGGAGCGGCTTAAAGAGCTGGGCATGTTTAGCCTGAAGAAGAGAAGGCTGAGAGGAGATATGATGAGAGCCATGTATAAATAATATGTGAGGGGAAGTCATAGGGAGGAGGGAGCCCAGAATTGTGGTGCCCAGAATTGGACACAGTGTGATTCCAGATGTGGTCTGACCAAGGCAGAATAGAGGGGTGAAATGACTTCCCCGGATCAAGACACTACACTCCTATTTATGCAGGCCAAAATCCCATTGGCTTTTTTGGCCACCACACGACATTGTTGGCTCATGTTCACCTTCCTGTCCACGAGGACTCCATGATCTTTTTCACATGTACTGCCATAGCTTCTCAGATACTGTTCTAATATCTAGCACCATATATAGTGTATCTGCTTCACAGTGATGTCTTCTTGATTGTCAGTGAATGACTGCAATGTCCAGGGATGATGTTGGTGAAGGGCATGTAGACATCCTCATGTAAAATTATCATTCCCCCCCCCCCCCATATCCTGGTTGCTTCCAGAGTTGGCCTTTTGGATACCAAAAACCTGAAATTAATTGGAGCACAAAACAACAATCTATATTCGATTTTACAGACTCGTTTAGCCTTTTGCTTTCACTTTTCTTGACATGTTTCACATTCCTTATCTTATTTAAATAGTTTGTTGGTTTAAATTTCAAAATGTCTCAGTTGCATACATTGTTGTAACAACTGTTGATTGTCCTGAGATATCATGATGAATAAATAAGATATAAATAGACAGACAGACAGGCAGACTGATCTGGAACTGCACAGATTCACACAACTTCTTTATTCTACCTCAACGTTTCTCAACCTGGCTGTCAGGATGCTTGGGGGGATCATGAGGGGGTGTCAAAGGGGTCACCAAAGACCATCAGAAAACGCAGTATTTTCTGTTGGTCATGGGTGTTCTGTTTGGGAAGTATGGCCCAATTCTATTGTTGGTGGGGTTCAGAATGCTCTTTGATTGTAGGTGAACTACAAATCCCAGCAAACCACCACTTCCAAATGACATGGTCTATTTTCCCCAAACTCCACCAGTGTTCACATTTGAGCATATTGTGTTTCTGTGCTAAGTTTGGACCAGGTCATCATTTGCATCTTGAATGCTCTCTGGATGCAGGAGAACTACAACTCCCAAACTCAAGGTCAGTACCTACCAAACCCTTCTAATATTTTCTGTTGGTCATGTGTTCCAAATCTGGTTCAGTTTCATCATTGGTGGAGCTCAGAATGCTCTTTGATTGTAAATTAACTATAAATCCCAGCAACTTACTCCCAAATATCAAGGTCTACTTTCCCCAAACTTCACCAGTGTTCACATTTGGGCATATTGAGTATCTGTGCCAAGTTTGGTCCAGATCCATCATTGTTTGAGTCCACAGTGCTCTCTGGGAGTAGGTGAACTACAACTCCCAAACTCAAGGTCAATGCCCACCAAGCCTTCCAGTATTTTCTGTTGGTTATGGGAGTTCTGTGTGCCAAGTTTGGTTCAATTCCATTGTTGGTGGAGTTCAGAATGCTCTTTGATTGTAGGTGAACTATAAATCCCAGCAACTACAACTCCAAAACGACAAAATCAAACCCTCCTCTGGAAAAAAAAAAACCCTACTTGTATTCAAATTTGGGTGTATCAGGTGTTTGTGCCAAATTTGGTCCAGTGAATGAAAAGACATCCTGCATATCAGATATTTACATAACGATTCATAACAGTAGCAAAATTATAGTTATGAAGTAGCAACGAAAATTATGTTATGGTTGGGGGGTCACCACAATATACGGAACTGTATTAAGGGATCGCGGCATTAGGGAGGTTGAGCACCACTGATTTGCCTTACTATCTGAGTATTTTACTTAATCTTCAAAACCCACAAGCATTTCCACATTTTCTTTTCTCTTGATGAATGATACAAATGGCTCCCATTCTTGCTGAAAAATTGTCAATTGATTTCTCCTTTATCATACAAAATGACTTGTCCATTTCTGCCAGTTTGGGAACATTTGCAAGCCGGTTTTCTTTTGAGGGCAGTTCTTTATTTTTCTCTAAAGAATATGTCTTTTGGGCATGTTTTGAGGGTTTTTTTTCATGTATTCTATCCATCCCGATTCTAAGTATTGGTTTCCTTCTAGAGTTTAGTTCAAACTTCAAAAAGATTTCTTAGGTTGTTACACCTTTGCTTCTGAAATAAATCCAGCACCTTGGACACCTCCTGCAAAGACAGGACTATCCATTTTACTGGTGGCTGATCATTCCTGTCAGTGGAAGAATTCATGCCTCCCAAGATTTAATCCAAACTTTAAGAAACATCTCCAAAGTGACTTGGGATCTTGGATACCTCCTTTGGGGCTACAATCATAAATGGATTCATTGCCCTGTTGATGGTCATTAGATGCCAAAGATTGAAGTTATACAGATTAAGGTAAAGGTTGGTAAAGGTTGTCCCCTGACATTAAGTCCAGTCTTGTCTGACTCTGGGGTGTGGTGC